ATTACAAGAAAAGAGATTGCTAAAAGAAAGATTTTTTACTTAAGCTAGAAGATGCTTGAAGTAAGAATAGGATAGCAGAGAGATGCGCGCACTCTGCATGGAGAAGAAACACTTCTATTTATACTCAGTGCATTAAATGAACATTTAATGCAATATGGTAGGTTTAGAGTGAGTGTCAAGCCTTAAGAGGAAGGCTTGTCATTTGCTACAGTGAATAGTATAAAAACACTATTTTTGAGCAGACATCTTTGCCTAAAGTTGGTGGACAAAGAGTCGACTAATCGGCTCCGTACCGTACTAACTTTTGCAAGGGTATGAGTTTGTCCTTTGTATGCATAAGGACAAGACAACAACAATCGTGCTAAGCAAGCTTCCTTTGATCGCTGAATGCTGGAATGACCTGGAGGTCTCATCACCATTCGCTGAAGCTAGAGCAGTCTTCACACATATGTAGTCAGGCTTGTAATCACTGAATACCGCTTCAGATCACGTACTTGCCAGTCTCTAATCTTCAGTTTCAGTCTTCGATGTTCGCTGAAGGTTCTTTGGTGTGAGTGTTGTCTTCTTGAAGTATTGCTGTCTCTGATGAATTTACAATGCAAGTTCTTCAGCGATCACTGAACATACTCAGTGATGATCGCTGGAACTGAAAATACAGAAACACAAATACAACGTGGAAGGAAAAAGGGATTATCATCAAATTACTGAGAGAGAGGATCAACAACTTCTTTAGCACGTTCCGGTTGTGAGTAAAAATCAAGTTTTTGTTGATAGAAATGTTTTAAAAGACGAAATAAACCTTTTCAAATTAAGAGATGAGTAGGGTGTAAGTTTTCCTTAAGACTATTGTAGAAACAAGATGATCGAAAACTCATGGGACTTCCATAAAAAACTCTAATCTCTCGAAAATGAATTTTCATATACTGTACCCAATGAGTGCCCACAAAGTTCCCATTGTCATAGATTTTAAACTTGCCGAATTAGCTAGTGATAAAAAGATATATAGTTCCACTAGTCTAAAGACTTATACTCAAATCTCATTGTAGTGTAAATTTCGACTAATATTTGAACCTTAGCTAAAAACATGCAAAATCCGTATCTTTACGCGATTATTAAAAACTCTCTCAAATCTTTGTGCATCACTTATGCCGTATTTCGAATCCGTCCATCTCTAGATCAGTGATATAATATTAACACTTTAAAGTGATCGGCTTATCCACGTTGAGTTTAAGTCCCGACTTTAAGTGACCAAACTTAAGAATTAGTAACATTAACAACACCCAAGTGTGCCTACTAGTCTTAAGTTTGACTCATGCCCACACCCAAACGAGGTGATTAGCTTATAATAAAACAAAAGAACATAGAAGAAGTAGAGAAATGCATATGAAATACTTGAATTGAAATTTAACTAAAAATGTTGCCTCAACGGGCAGACAGTGGACAAGAACGTAACTAAAATTAAATACAAGACAAGAAGTACATACAAAAAATTAAACTCTAACTATTGCTCCAGATCATCCGTTGCTTCAAAGATCTCCAGTTGATAGTAAATGCTCCAAAAAAGATGTTTTCGAGATGAGAATAAATACTTCAATTTATAGGAGAAAGAGAGAGAAGAACATCCCTTTTTATCCAAATGAAAGAAACATCTTTCCTACTTTAGGACAAATACTTCATTCCACTTTTCTTGCAAGATCTTTTAGACTTGTCACTTTTTGAAAGGATGCAAAAGGTAAGGGATGGTCATCCCCTTGATTTAAGAAAAAAAAAATTTAAGTCATTTTTTCAAGCAAAATGGCCCATCCCTCTATATTTTGTGAAATCTAAAGAACGGACAACAGATTTAACTCTCTTGAATACCCAAAAAATAGGGTATTTAACCTTATCCATGTCTGTCTTGAAAAAAAAATATCATAGTGGGTAGCAAGTGGGCATACAGTGGGCACTGTCTAGCAGTGACGGTTTTTCAGAATAAAATCAAATCATTGACCTTTCATCACATTTTTAAGAACATTATGAACAAAAAATATAAGATAGAGACAAAATGGGTATATAAAAAACATAAAAACAAAAGTATTGAATAACAAAAAACTCTCAAAATCGAGAGTTATCATATGTTAAAAGGAAATGGAGGCATATATACAACTTATTATCACACAAGAATATGGTCAAATTGTCCTAAAATTCTACATGGTCTTGCATCAAGCACACTTGTATTATAGTAGTTGGAAACCAACCCCCAAGTTGAAATGACAATTGAAAATAAAGTACAAAAGTGATATATTATAACATAGAATTCCTTTGTAAAATAAAGGATAGAAATAAGCTCTAGAAATTGCACTAATTTTGTCAAATTATAGAAGGTAAAGATATGACTCGAACGAAAAAGTGTGATATAAATGTTGATCGAAATTAGTGGCTTAAATATAATGTAATAGTTGTTACGTCCTCCTGGATGGTTGTTTGGGCAGTAGGGTTGGCATATGGGATGACTCAAGAGCAGAATTACAAAAAAGGCATAGGCTACCTTTTAAAGCGTCCTTACCGCACCGATCATCTTGAGGAATGAAAACTACGACGCCTATTTATTACTGGTCTCATAATTAACTGGTCTACAATAAATTTCCTCTTATCTCTTGGCCTAACCAAAATTCAAATCACCCGTCACACCTGAAAACCTAATCTGATTCAAACCCATTTATCCTTGGACAAATCATTGTCCTAGACCTAAAAGCCTTATTAATTTCTAGGTTTTCTGTAACCAATTTAAGATAAAAAAATGAGTTTTGGATGATTTAGTTGTTATTCCACAGGAATGGCAAAGCGCCGGGTTCGGGCCGGTATTGGTATCCCCGTTCCCGAAACCGATAGCTAAAACCGTCCCCGTCGGGGATCTTATCGGGGATCCCCATCGGGTCCCTGCGGCTTCCCCGATCCCCGTTGGGGAACCCGTTAAGGGTAAAAATCCTATTTTCACCGTTGGTTATAACCGAATCCCGAAACCGATCTGAAAAAAATTACAATATGCTAATTTTCACAATTAAATACAATCTTTTTTAAGATGTAAGTTTAAATGTCTCAAACATAATCGAACCAACTACAAACAATGTATTATATTACAATATAAAACTAAACATAAATTCAAACATCATACAACTAAAATCACGATTTTAAACAAATAAACTAGACTTTTTCGTGAGCTTTACTTGGGTTGTTGAGGTAAAATGGATAAAAATCTCTTTAATTTTAATGAAATTATTTTCTTTTAATGATATTATATATATATATATATATATATGTATATAGATTAAAATTAATATATATATATATATACACACACACATCGGGCTGGGCCGGGCTAGTGATCATTGTCCCCTCCCCCATTAAAATCCCGAATTTGTCCCCGATCCCCGATAAAATGTCTCCGACCCCGACTTGAAAGTTTCGATTTTCGGTTTTCATCATCGGTTTCGGTTTTTTTTGCCATCCCTATTATTCCATCTGTCCCAAAAATAAATATCCATAATGCAAAAGACAATTTTACAAAATGTATAATTTATGGACTTTTTAGTAGCTAAATGCCAATTTTACTTTTAATAATAGATTAAATATCGAGTTTTCTTCATCTTATAATTTAAGATATATTTATAGATATTTAGGGGTCGTTTATCAAATGCTTACCAGTAAGAGTAAACACTTTCAGTTAATTTATTGAGTAAAATTTTAGTCTATTAAACCGGCGTTGTATCAAACATTTTTATCCGGTAAGCACTTACAGGGTAAGAGTCATCACTCTCACTTACCGGTAAAACATTCGGTCAGTATTATTGTTCTTATCGGATAAGATTATCAGTTTTTATCATGTTCATTCACTAAAATAAAACAACCAATAAGCACTTACAGAAGAAACGCTTAATAAACTACCCTTAGGGCCTGTTTATTTATGGCTTAATGAGTTTAATGGATAAACTGGCTTATTCGCACAGACAAAATAAGCTGTTTACCTCAGGCTTATTCGCCCAGATGAAAATCCTGCCTTGTCCAGGTTAAGCCGGCCAAAAGACTTGCCCTACCCTCATCCACCAACAACGCCTCTCTCTTACGGAAACACCAACAACGCCTCTTCTCCACATCCACCAACAGAGCCTTTCTCTTACGGAAACACCAACAGCGCTTCTTCTCCATCGATCCAAAGAACCCTAATCGAAGGTCTCTTCTCCATCGATCCAAAGAACCCTAATCGAAGGTCTCTTCTCCATCTCCTCCAAATAATCCTAATCGGTTACTGTCTTGGCATTTGCTGTCTCGGTTATAAACGATAGCATAAACCTCGAGACAACGAATGGTAAAATATAGTCGTATGGAACTGGGGTCGGATGAATGGTAGTACAAACCTCGACATGAGTCATCGACAGTCACCAAAAAAAAAATGTCTGTGTGTCATGTTTTGCAGTGGTCTTACCATCTCTGCGTTGGTTGACCACACCCATTGATCCATGCTTGACCTTTTCCTATACTATTCATGTCCAGAGCCAATGGCTCGTCACCATCAGGTGCATTGAAGTAACAAAGAATTGAAGACCCTTATGTTTGTCATACCTTGTACCATGTCTTGCTGTTTGTTGTTTCTATAAACCCAACACCTTGTTGTTTCTATAAACCCTATTTTTGTCAGGAGTAAATTGGTCATTTATGTTATTCAGACTGTTTATTCAGATAGAAAAGTAAACAACATAAATTTATCTAGACAGACAAATTTATCCATACAGGACTTAATAGAAAATTTGGTAAACAACCCCTTACTTTAAAATAGACACTTTTCTTTTAAAATAAAATAAAAAAATTAAAATATAAATAGTTAAAAAAAAAAAAAAATTTGAGAAATGAGAAGGAAAAAAGAAATTTTACAAAGTGTAGGGACCCACAATCTGAGTTTTCTCCGCAGCAACCGTGTCGACTGAGTCACTCAGTCTCCTCCTCCAACGCCAACACCACCAAAAATCACCATCTTCCCTCTATCTCTGCAAAACTACACGCTTCCCCCCCTTCTCTCTCTCTAACCCTAATTTCCCTTTTCGTCTTTTCAATTATTGCCCACAATCAAACGGTCTATATCTCTCCACGTCTCCATCATCATCTTCATCTTCCTTCTTCATCGTCTCTCTGCTACCTCACGAATTTGATTTTATAAGATCCCTTTTCTAGGGTTTTCCACACACACAAGACACTCTCCAAGTTCTTGCGGGGAACGCAATATTAAAGAAACCTTGATGTCTTCGTCTTGGGTTTTCGTCGACGTCTGAGCTCCGCTTCGTGGTTTTTTTTAATTTCTTTATCATAATTAAGGTACTTAATCGATCCAATGCCCTAATTTGATATGATGGTTTCTGTTCTATATATGTATAATGTTCTTTATGCGTTTCAAGGTTGTGTGTTTTTCTGTTTATTTTGCTGGGAGGATTTATTGTTTCCATGCTTCTCTATTGCATTGTTTAGAATTCGTGTTAAAGGGTGTTTGTTCTTTTCGTGTTTGCTTTAGGGTTCGTCATGAATTGAAGGAATCTGAACTGTGTTGAGAGAATTTTGGTTTTTGGATGGCGATTGAAAAGAATAGTTTTAAGGTTATTGCCAGTGGTAGATTGGAATCTGAGTTCTCTTCTCGTAGTAGGGAAGAAAGTATGTCTAGTGAAGATGATGAGTTTCAGAAGCGAGGGGGCGTTGAGTTTGATGAGGATGAAGATGACTACGATGATTGTGATTCCGGGGCAGGTTCTGATGACTTTGATTTACTTGAATTGGGTGAAACTGGTGAGGAATTTTGCCAAATTGGGGATCAAACTTGTAGCATTCCTTTCGAAATGTATGATCTTCCAGGATTGGGGGATATTTTGTCTATGGAAGTTTGGAACGAAGTTCTTACGGATGAAGATCGGCTTAGTCTTGCAAAGTATCTTCCCGATATGGACCAAGAGCATTTCATGCGAACGATGAAAGAGCTTTTCACTGGTTGCAATTTTCATTTTGGGGTTCCAATAACTAAGCTTTTCGATATGCTGAAAGGAGGTTTATGTGAACCAAGAGTTTCACTTTATCGTCAGGGTCTGGGGTTCTTTCAGAAACACAGACACTATCATATCATCCGTAAGCATCAGAACACGATGGTTAATAATCTATTTCAGATACGGGAAGCGTGGATGAAGTGTAGAGGATACAGCATTGAGGAGAAGCTTCGAGTGTTGAATATCATGAAAAGTCAAAAGAGCTTAATGTATGAGAAGATGGAAGAATTGGAGACTGATTCGTCTGAATGGGAAGAATCTGGAGATGGTTTATGGAACAACAAGAAGCCGAAAGACCGTAAACAGAAACGTGGTCATTATCCTGGATATCGATCAAGTCCAACGTTAGATTTTCCTAACTCAGGGAGACAATTAGCTTTAGAACCAGCCAATTTTGGGAAACAGAATCCAAAAGGAACTCTAAAGGTTTCTGGATCGAAGATCTCTACAATCAAAGAACACGTATCCCCCTTTTCTTCTCTAGAAGTAAGGCCAGGGCCGTCGGGTTCAGCATCGTTTCTTCCTAGACAGATGCGGGATCATCATTTCAGAGATGATGAAAAATCAATGTATGATGTCACTGTTCATCGAGATCATAATTTTACAGATAAAGCTGGTGGGAAGAAGTATAAAGGTTTGAGGGGTGAAGAATTTCCTGAAACTTTCATGGGTTTGCCTGTGCCACTGAAGACTGATGTGCATACTTTTGGTAGGAATAGAACCGTAAACCAGTTGTCAGATATTAAGGTGTTAACTTCAAAGCCGTCTAATTCAAGATTTGCCTATGATTATGGGAAGATGCTCAAACACCCGGAAAACAATCAGAAAATGGCTGCAGAAGATGCGTTGAAGTACAGGAATCCACGGGCTGCAAATCTGTCTCAGATTGATGCTCAACAAGATATGTATGCCGGAGGTGAACCATTCTGGCCCGACCAATCACAAGGAGAACTCATCTCGGCTTATCCATACAGGTATTAAAAACAAGGTTACTATGTACATTGGTTAATACTTGTATTACATGTTCTACTTGATTACAATGTCTGCTCACATATCATTGAATCGTTATTCTACCTGTTGTAATTCCCAATCACCTGTTATACACTACCTATCTTATTTTCCGCTTGCACACACCTTCTTTTCGTGCACAAGCTGGGAATCTTCACAGGAACAGCCTCTTGATCCTTGTGGTTGAGGTAAGGTCTGCTTACATCCTACCCCTGTCAGACCCTATTTCTGAATGGGATATATTGGGTTCGTTTGGTTTGGTTTTTTGGTAACGAGTTTTTTCATCTGGAGCACAGGATGGGGCAGAAAAAGGGCAGGGCGGTTAATGGCGGACGAGTTGTGGCAGCCGCTGAAGGAATGAAAATGCTGGCAAAGGGTGAGGAAACGGAGTCAGATTCATCAGAACAATTTGGCGAAGATGATGAAGATAACCCTTTGATGAGAAGCAAATGGGCGTATCCGAGTGGCGCATCCAATATGAAATCCGGGCCAAGTTTTAAAAAGGCTAAACTTGTTAAGAACAATAACAAGAGTAGTGTCAAAGTTCTTGATGAATCATTACAAACTATCAGAAAGAACGGCGATTTTGGAGAAGAAATTTACCCTCTAAAAGGAAAGCAAAAGGGTAAGAACCGTTTTGATGATTCTAGCGCAAGACATTTGGATGAGTTTAATGGTGATGGTCATATCGACGGTATCTACAAGCAGTCTGAAATCTTTCAAGTGCCCTTTCGGAAAACATACCCTTCTGGGAAGAAGCAGAAAGGAGAATTCGGGCGTGACTATTCCGTCCTTCCACCAATGCACATAAATGATTACGTTGCTGATGAGCCTGGAAGGGATAACGTTTATGTTGGAAGGTCTGCTAAGAAAGGTCAAATGATCGAACCATATAGCCATGATGGTGCTGAAATGGCGGATGTAAGGTTATTAGGCTGCAACTCGGCTACCAAGAAACGGAAGGTGAAAGATGAACTGATGTTCATCGATGAAGAAAATCTTGGTTTTTCGAACTCGAGCCCCCATCAACAGCTTGATGATGTCACTTATGTTAAAAGCCTTGGGAAACGGAAATGGACGGAGCCAATTCCTTTTGAAAACGTGGTCACTGAGGCACCGGTTACTGATACTGCGGATGAAGATGCAGAGTTAGAAAGTAAAACTCAGAAAAAGCCGTTTACTTTGATTACACCTACAGTTCATACTGGATTTTCATTTTCCATCATACACCTTCTGTCAGCTGTGAGGATGGCGATGGTTACTCTTCTTCCGGAAGATTCCATGGATGTTGGCAAGAATCATAATGTAAATGATGAAAGACAGAATCTTGGAGAGGAGCTAAAGCAGGAGGTCTTCAATGGAGATCAAGGTGTAACTAGTTGTGATCCTTCCCAAAATCCGAATGTCCCTTCTTTGACCGTTAAGGATATTGTCAATCGCGTAAAATCAAACCCCGGAGATCCTTGCATTCTTGAAACTCAAGAACCGCTTCAAGATTTGGTGCGAGGAGTTTTGAAGCTATTTTCTTCAAAAACTGCGCCCTTGGGAGCGAAAGGATGGAAGTCACTTGTACTATATAAGAAATCTATTAAAAGCTGGTCGTGGATTGGTCCAGTTTCTCAGAGTTCATCAGATCACGAGATTGTCGAAGAGGTAACATCTCCTGATTCTTGGGGTCTTCCACACAAAATGCTCGTTAAATTGGTGGATTCTTTTGCGAATTGGCTGAAAAGCGGTCAAGAAACCCTGCAACAAATTGGAAGTCTTCCTGCTCCCCCTCTAACATTGATGCAGCTTAATTTGGATGAGAAAGAACGATTTCGAGACCTAAGAGCTCAGAAAAGTCTCAACACGATAAACCCGAGCTCCGAGGAAGTTCGAGAATATTTTCGCAAGGAAGAAGTTCTTCGGTATCTAATTCCCGATCGAGCATTTGCGTATACAGCCGTTGATGGTAAAAAGTCTACCGTAGCTCCTTCAAGAAAAGGCGCCGGAAAGCCGACATCAAAAGCCCGCGACCATTTCATGCTGAAACGTGATCGGCCACCCCACGTCACCATCCTGTGTCTAGTCCGAGATGCGGCTGCGAGATTGCCTGGAAGTATCGGAACACGGGCCGATGTTTGTACTTTAATTCGGGACTCCCAATATATCGTAGAAGATGTCTCTGATGCTCAAGTGAATCAAGTCGTTAGTGGAGCGTTGGACAGATTGCACTACGAACGTGATCCTTGTGTGCAATTTGATGGCGAGAGGAAGCTATGGGTTTATTTGCACCGAGAAAGGGAGGAAGAAGATTTCGAGGATGATGGAACTTCATCTACAAAGAAATGGAAGCGGCAAAAGAAAGAATCGACCGAGCCCTCGGATCAGGGTGCGGTGACCTTAGCCTATCAAGGATCCAGCGAGCAAACTGGGTTTGATTTGAGTTCGGACCTAAATATCGAACCTTCTGGTGTCATCGACGAGAAGAAAGAGCAGCCATTGGAGGACAATTTCGGTGGTGAACAAGGCGCGATACATCAAGGGTCTTCAATGGGTTGGGAAGCTCTCGGGCTGGATAACAAATTGTTATGTGAAAAGAACTCGACGAACGAAGATTTTGACGATGCCGAGCTCTTGAACACAAGTGTATCTTGATGAATCTTGTTAAAGGTAATTTCTGTGACTTTTGATTATCTATTGAATTCAGTTATATAAGGTTTCACTTCTTCAACTGTTAGGGTATGCTTGGTATGGGTTTTTTTATGGATAGTTTAGTAATTTAACAAACAACCTGTGGTCTCGTCTTTTGTTCCACTTTTCTGAGAGGACATAAAAAGAGCGCTTTCGTCCTACTCATATCATGATCATGTGTCTGTTTCGGTCTAAATGTCGTCTGGTGTTGGTAAATTACTAAACTATTCATGTCGTCGTCTGATGGGAAGTTTGTTTGGTTTATGTTGGATTGCAGGTGTCTTGAATTTGAATATGATTTGATAGGGAGGAGGGAGGGGGCATGTCTTTGTATGCAGGTTTTTTTTAGCACATAAAGATTGCAATCTTTTTACACGTGAATTTGGAAGAGAAAGAACCCAATTATACGAATACGAATACTAATACTACATTTTTTATGAATTAGTTCCATATCTCATGTAAACTTCTCTCAGGGGAAACGTTGTTATGCAGGTCAAATATCAACACTGCTCCTGGTTGCAAAACCAAAGGTAATTGACGAACCAAGGTACAGAATGAACTCGAATCAGATCGAGTGGTGTAATAATAGAATGGGTTTTTGAAGCAGAGTCGCTCTCAACGATGAATATGTAGTCGGGTATATATATATATATATATATAGTTTGGTATAATTTTGTGCGGCCGTTTGGCCATGGATACTTTTAGTATGAGGAAAAAACCATGGAGGGTGGGATTTTCTCTTCATGTCTTTTACAGGAAAGTAATGAGTTTCGTTGGTTCGATATAAATCCGTTTGGGATGTGGTGCATAAAAGAAATGGAGATTGAACGTCTTTTCTTTGGGTATATACAAACAAATTCCACGTTGTTTAAGGGTGTTCGAGGTGGGCAAATGGGAGAAAGCCTGATCGGTTAAAGATACTTTGTTTACGTATCGTTGGAAAGTTCATTAACTTAAATACGGCAGTAAGAAGTGGTGATACAAAAGTGTGTAAACTATAAAAACGAGTCGGAGTGGATTTGTCCCCCCACTAGCACTTCAGGTGCACCTGTTACGATTTTTTTTAGTCATTTTTTAAAAATCAAAGCAATCGTAAAGTGTTTTCAAGGCCTGATTTCTCCTGTTTTAGTCGCCTTTTCTGGCAAATACAATATAATATTGGAGTACTTCTAAAAAAATGTTGAATTTATTTGAAATAGTAAAAGTACGTGTGGTTATATATAGCTCAAGGCTCGACCAACTCTCGTGCCATTTAGAATCTTAATTTAATTTAAAACTAGGACCAGATCTGGTTAAGAAACGATTAAAGGTCCGCTGATGCCTAAAATCTATATTGAAGTCAAGAGCGTAAACAACATAATTACTCTAAAAAACACTAAGGGGCCGTTTATTAAACACTTACCAAGTAAACGCTTACCAGTAAAATTTAACACTATTAATTATCTACCGGATAAGATTTTAGTCCACCAAAACGATATTATATGCAACAGTTTACCCAATAAGTGCTTATTGTGGTAAAAATCGTCGCCATCACTTACCGGATAAGACTCTTGGTCCCTGTCTCGCTCTTAAGTGATTATATGATATAAGACAATCACAATCTTACAAATTTATGATAAGAGTGTGAGCCCTAAATGGGCACCACTCATACACCACCTTACAACTATGAACTCTTATAATATGAGATCACAAAAATTAAATCCAATTTCCCAACCACCCTAAAAAATGCTTCCAGATTCAAAACCTATATTTGAATCTAGAAACGAAATGCCATCTGTACATGTTTCTATTTATTTCTCAATTAATAGCAGCGAGCGGAAGTCGAGAATCTCTTGTCGAATGTGCAGCAGCAGCCTCGACATGATGCTTCATGTCTCCATTTGGTAGCTTCGAGCACGATTTTGAATCCCAGAAACATTTCAGTAGCTCCTCGAATGACGGGGTTCGTAGTTCCTCGATAGATGTGATGCTTGGTAGGTTGAATGGCCTCTTTTTCGGCGTTGAGCATGATGGTTCATCAACCTGATAAATAAAAATACCCGATTCGATAATACTTCATGAAAACAACAAGGCTCCTCCAATTATAACTTTATTCCCCCATAAAAAAACAATGTTTCCCGCAAATTGGTATATACACGTGGATAGCCTCATTTGAGAATCATAAATATAAATATTTTAAGAAGCATGAGAAACCAACTATTCATTATGAATATCATCACGGTACATAGTCATGAATGAAAATGCATGATATTTATGAATATTTAGGATATTCATTATGAATAATTGGTTTTCACGATTCCCAAGAGTAAAAGAATTTATGAATAGTTTGTTCTATATATGTGTGTGTGGATAAGTTGAAACAAGAAGGCTAAATATCGTGAGAAAGTAAGAAGAGAATATTCACATGTGAATTATTGAAAAAATGGAGAAAAAATCTTTTTAAAGATAATATTCATATGGGTTACACATAGCATCTTCAAATGGAGTTTTTCAATGATTCACATATGAATGTTTCCTTCTTACGTTCCTCCGGTATGTAGCCTTCTTATTAGAACCTCTCACTATATATAATAGGGTCAGGTTCAAACAAGAAGGCGGTCAAACACATATTGCGTCGAACGACACACTGAGGGTAACCTTCCCCCGTGATCTTTGGTTGCATTCACCAAGTCGCCCATGTTCTTTTGGATGTGTTTAAGCGTTCGTATCACGTGTAATCATATATAATGTTGGAACTTCTCGCCTTCTATTGATCAACTTTTAATTTGATTCTCCACATATCAACTTCCCAACTTCTCACATATGAGTTTGGATGAGAAAACTAACCGTGTAGTCATTTAGGAGGGTTTTTCCAGCATTTTCTGAGATTCCTATGATCTTATGGTAGTGTTCACCCTTCAGTTCCCTCAGTTCACCACAACAAGGAACAATGATGGAATCAAGATTTTCGCGTGCATCATGGTCGAGTTGTAAGGAATCTGCGATTGATTTGCCAAGACAAAACAAAGTGAAAAGTTCGTGTCAAAAAGGAGATAAGATGACACTAAAAGCACATTGATTTCTGATTATATGTATATACTCACGGTCAATTGAGGAAAGAAGGTTTTCGCTTGCAACATTTGTATCATCAAGTGCAGATGACACAGCTGCTGAATACCGTGAACGTAAAATCTGATTGGCTTCCAATCCTCCCCTAGAAGAATGGTGAAAAGGTTAATAAGACATAACAATCTGAAAAGAATGGTGAAGGCAGCCTCCAGTTTGCAAGACAAAAATTAAAAGAGTCGCTACATGTAAGAGTGTGTGCAAACAAGCAACGGGTACATAAACAAAAAATGCAATAAGGGAGAAACGGGAGAATGTGAGAAATACCTCAAACAAACAAGGAAATACAGAAACACAAAGGGCAGTGCTGACAACTAGTTCATATACGTTAAACACTATTATATATATATATACACACACACAATGACACAAACACACACACGCCAAACCAAATAAACCCAGTATATCTCACCTCCGGGTGGGGTCCCAGGGGGTGGATGTAATTTCCCTCTACCTCAAAAAGTAGAGGGGTTGTTTCCATGACGACCCCTGGCTTGTGCAAAGTGTACAAAAAGAAAAGGATAGAATTTGCTCAAAAAATTATTCCGAGAAAGAACATAAAAACTTAAAAGTAAGAAAGACGGTGCTAAAATGTGAAAATATGTTAGTAGTAAGCAACAAAACACAAATAAAGGCAAACAACAAACATAACAAACAAAATACCATCATATATGTAAACTGTAAATTCGTTTTACCTAACTATTTCATCCACAGATGCAACATTGCTCTTCTCTAAAGCAAGCAAAGATTCCTGAGCACTACTCCATTGTTGTGACCCCATTTTCGCCTTTTGTAAACTGTAATGTTTAACGGAATGTCAACAAATTTGACCAACTACAAGAACCCCAGGAATGGTATGAAGTGAACTAACCAATTCTGAAGAACCTCATCCAGGTCTTTCTTTCCATTTTCAACTGCAGCAGTATCTTCAAGATAGTGGTTTTCGGACTTCTTAGTGTAGTTTGTCCATTCATCCCTTATGCAAGAGCTTGAATCTTTCATTGTCGACATTTCTTGCACGAATCTGTTAGCTTTACTAGCTGCAGTTTCACGTAGACCATCCACCGCTGTTCTAACCTACAGTATGGATATCAAATTTATAATTTAAAATCTGTAGCCTCCTATAATGCATATTAACACAACATAGCATCCATAATTTGTATGTTGGCCATACCAGTTCTTTCTTCGTAGCATTTGAAACTGCAAGCAGTTCTGCAACTTTCTCTAGTAGTCGTCTTTCTTCATTTGCAGTGCATTCCTGAAAAGAAGTCGAATTAGAAGACCAAGACATTTTTTTTTTCATTTTTTTGATAACCATGGGTGTCCAGGCCCTGAAGATAACAGCCAGGAAAATCTCAGTGGCCTTGAGGAGACTGTTGACCTACAAGGAGGATCCCTGAAGCCTGGCCTTTGTTTTCTAGTTAAGCTGCCTTAAGGGTTGACCAAGATATGTTTCAACAAGTAAGGAGAAAGCATGAATCTTATTACCTCAAACTTTCTTTCTAGTTCAAATAGTTTTTGGTCATTAGCAGTCTGACCCTCTTCGACAATTTTTGTCAATTTTGTTGCATGTGTGTCTAACGTATCGAAGAAGTTCATAGTAGTGTTAGATATTGATCTTGATGTTTCCACAGCTCTAGAATGTGCCTGCATATCGAGTGTGAAAAGGGACATTATTGTAAGTATGGGAAAAACTATTCTAAACAACTCGCTATGATCATTTGATTTAATTACAATCTAACATGTCTTATGGTTAGTTTATTATATATTTATATTACAATTTCGAGGGAAAATGCATGTATGAATAGTAAATATGTTGAGAACCTTGAGAACCAACTATTCATGAATTATTCACGATGAATATACCAAAATATTCATGCTCAAGAATAATCCATCAATAGTTGGTTCTCACGATTCTCAAATGAACTTGCCCCAACAATTTTGAATATCCATCGTGCTAGTTTAAAATCTTACCTCTCGTTGTTGTTGTGCAAATGCGGTTAGTTTATTTTCCTGGCTGTAGAGGATGTCTTGTAGATCATTAAGCAATTTCTCAGCTTCTGATGCAATACCCTTGAAAAGCTGGACATCAAAAAATTGTTTAAGTACATACCATACTAATGTAGATTTCTTAAATCAAAATTAGGATATACATACATCCCCAAGAGCAGAAGAATTTTTGGAGACTTGAGAATTCAAATGCTCAAATGTTGACTGTGAATTCCCATCAACCTCATCAGCTATATCGTCCAAAGCTTTGATACCAGAACCGTACATTGTTTTTAACTTCTCTAGAGCAGCTCGAAGTTCTTCAGTTGCCTACACCCCCCAGAAAGTAGATTATATAGTCATTTATCCATGCCTTCAAGGCCATGTTGGTACTGTTTACTAAGTTGCTTGTAGTCTTTTACCGAGTAAGTAGTGCTACCTGGGTAAGATACTATATCGTTTACCAACACCTGACCAATAAATGTGACCGAGATGCTGACCGATAAGAGTGGAGAGGCTTACTAACCCCGACAAGGGCAGGCTTACTTGCCTGGTCAGAGCATCTTACCCGGTCAACATTTGCTCAATTTTTTTAGTAAATGTTCCCTCAATAATTCACTGGCTAAATCACATACCTGGGTCTTTGTGGATACAAATGATTGCATATCTTCCTCCATGCCTTTCAGCTGTTGCTCTTGTTGGGTCACAGAAGCTGCTATAGTCTTATGCAAGGTGTCAAGCTGTTTGGTTAATTGAGATTGGAACTGTTGGACAAGAATTCTGTTTCCATCTTCAATTTTGTCCTTGCGCTCTGGTACAGATCACATAATAAAAAATTAACATCAATTCTGCCCAACTTTTCTAAAGGATGTTTGATTATTCAAGGTTTGTACCAATCTTGGTGAAAAGATTAGACACGTCTGATGCAGCATTCTCAAGCTCCGAACGAAGGTCAAATGCCCGCTCAAGAAGTGCTTTTTCTGTGATATTGAAAAGGACCATCGTTATATAGCCAACTTATAATACTACAAAATTTAACATTGCTTGTGGTTTTATAAGGATTGGATAATTTTGTGGAAATGCTAACATGCATGCTAAAATATAGTATCAGCAACTCATTTGGAAGAAAAAGGGAACATATCGATGTACCAGATTTTAGAAGGTTGGAGATGAGAAATTCTTTCTCTTTGATAGTTACATTTGCTTGTCTATGCTTTTCTTCAAGATCAAACAACGAATGTTCAGTTTCTTGGAGCTTTATCTGAAGGCAAAGACATATGGATCTTGATTAAGAAAACCTCATGGATTAAGTACTTTAGGTAACCATCATGGATTACGAAAATGTGATACCTCTGTCTTGTCAAGTTTTTCAGTTAAATTTGCAGTTATTAGCTGCTGAGAGTTATAAAGTTCCTGAAGCTCCATCATTTGCTGTTTACAGAGATAGAGTATCATTTAGGCCAGAGTTCTTCAACAAAAAAACATAAACAGTGGCAATTCTATGTCTTGATTATACCTTGCCCCTGGATTCAGAATCAAGTTCCATGCGCTCTATTTTTTCAGCCATTGCCTGGATCAAAAAATTAAAGAAAACGAAAATTCAGTAAAAGCAATGTTAATCCCAAACCGTTAAATCCAGCCTCGTTTAAGTAAAACAATTTCTTCAATCAGGCTAAATACAAATTCATGGAAAATGACCTTCTTCTCCTCTTCTTCCTGAAGATATCTGTCTTTCGGTATGTAGATCCCATTTTTCTCTCTAGCAGCATATACCTCTGGTCAAGCAACAGTTAGAGTATATTAGTATCTTAATTAAGGGCCACTTTATTGAGAGAGGTTAGGAAGGATAGATTACCTTGCTTAAGCCGTTCAATTTCGGAATACAGGTCTTTCATCATTGCCGATTTCATCATCTTCTGATTGATCTAAAACAACAATAAAAGAAGTCAAATAATCATGGGTTGAAAAAGGAGAAGCATGTCGCTAATTAAAACAGACTAACATCCACAGTACCAACCTCTGGTTTGTTCTTGATATTTTTTGCACGGTGTGCGTAGTCTAAGGTGCTGAGTGTCTCTTCCAAAGAATGGATGGAGGGGGAGATAGTAGCAATTATGCATGTCTTTGTTTTCCCTCCCAAGGAATCTCTCAGCAACCGTGTTAACTTACTATCCCTGTTGTTAAGAACAAACTCTAAAATCTTTACATGGCTCATCTTAATTTGTGTAATCCAGATGATGTCTTTTTCAGCCAGCAGGTTCGAATAAGAACCGTAAATATTTTACATGGGAACCAACTATTTATGCTTTATTCAAGATGAATGTCGTGATAGATATTTATCATCAAAACGATGCACAATGAACATACATGCTATTCATGATAAGAATGCATGATATTCATGATTACAGAAAAATACATGAAATAGTTGGTTCACAGGTTCTCAAAATATTTATGGTTCTCATTTGAAGTTTCCTCTAGACCAGTACTACTCTAATACTATAGTAATTGGAACAATACTTAAGACCGTAGTGAACAGAACAATTCCTAATAACAACTATAGTAGTAAATAGAGTGGTACCTATAAGGTATATGTCCTGAGCGCTCAACTAGCGTGTTTATGACACGGCCAAGTGTAAGCAAGCTTTTGTTTATCTCACCAGCTTCCCTTGCTCTTCCCTGCAATAATTAAAATTCATGAGGTACCAATTTGGATATCTACCTCTTTTAGGTATACGGCAAAACTGACATACACTCCTCACCAACGGTGAGGCTTGAACTCTTGACCTCTAATGAGGTTGGGATGCACTGGTAACGTGAATGCCGCTGGGCCATTGACCCTTTGGCAATTTGGATATGTACTTGTTCATTTGTAATCAATGCTCATGTATCTATAAACCACCCTTCAATGGATGATAGACTATGTGTACACGAGCTTTTAAATAGTCAAAACAATTATAGCATGCGGACGCTTGCTACTTCATATATACAAACTGTCAAGTTTCTATTACCTCTTTTGCACCAGACCGCGAAATATTCTCTGAACCAGCAAGATCAACTAGATTCAGCTTTCCACATCTAATTATCTCTTCCCCCTCTGGAGTACGCTCCTTAATGTGAATTGTGATAGAAAATATTGAGTGAGAACGACTGCTTTGTTTATTCATAAGGGTCTCTGCTGTACGTCTTCTAGCAGAACCTTTCTCCAATATTCTGTATATTTCATCAGCGGTGGAAACTATCTCCTCTTCCAAGCCTCTCACAAGTACGCCTCCCTTTCCATCCTCCATGAGTGCTATGGGTTTCTTGGACTTGTCTTCTGGGAATTTCTGAACTTCTTCAGGAGCCAAAAGATCTGTTATCTCCTCATTGTACAGCTCTAGAAATGTAACTTTCATACTATACTCCGCATTTTGAGCTTCTAATATATCAAATATCTGCTTCACAGCCCTGGGAATAACACCTGCATCACTTGGGAATTCCCCATTCTGAACAGAAGACAGTTACTTTTATGCAATAAAAGCCCAAAACATAAAGGCTCATTCTTATGGGCTAGAAGTATACCTTTTTCCTGCCTCCTCCCTCCATTGTGTATGTTTTCCCGGTTCCTGTCTGGCCGTAAGCAAATATGGTGCAGTTGTAGCCCTCAAGAACTTCGAAAACTATGGGAGAGACTGCTGAATGATACAAGTCCCTTTGTTGGGATTTTGGACCAAAGACCTAAGGTAGCACCAGATTAGTGCATGGAAACAACACCAGATACAATTCCTTTTCCCCCCTAAAGATATAGAGGAAAAAGAGAACACAAATTGTATCTTGGGATAGTATTAAGGGAGTTCATAAGAAACAATTTCCAGTTAGGTATGTGGTAAATTCTAATTTCATTAGTAGTTTGGAAGGGACGTGATATGCATTTATCCAAAAACATTATCAGCAAAATGGCTACCCCTTCCAAGCCTTTTACTAGGCAACAATCCCTGTGAAATTTAATCGAGCAGAATAAATGTTTTAATCAAAATTTTCCCGTTCTGGATTGCTAGATTCCTTGAGTTGATACAAACTACATATCAAAGGACAGTTTATGGTACATTCTACATTTCAACTATGTTTATCTTTGTTCCATGGCATTCTAATCAAGGACCCTACTGTTTAGTTGCCAAAACATGAAGCACACAAGTTTTATCCTAATACCACTGCAGTACATAAAGAATTTATTCTTCAAACAATAAAGACAATAAACATAGAAGAAATTAGACAAGAAAACACACCTTGTCAAACACAAATGATCTATCAATCTGTTTGTTAGCAATATTCTGAATTGCACATACTTCCCTCTTGTTTTCTGAACATGTAATAACCATTGGTGTGTGCAATTTTTCCTCATCAGCATTCATTGGTCTACAAGTTTAGAAACAAAACAATAATAGTACCATTTTCATGGATTAGCATCCAAAATTTAATTTTACGCATCTTGAAGAGAAAAAAAAGTACACACCTGCATCGCACAACAACCTGAACATTCACGCATTTTTCTTTGTCATTTTTGCCACTCATATTTCCTTCTCCAAGTCGGAGATCTCTTGCTGCCTTGTCAATGGACCTCGGAGTGTGTGATGGTGAACTCGGAATCGCATTTCCTCCCTTCCTCTCCATAGCCTTACGATTAGCTCTTCAAATCACGACTTTTGCCTTTGAATCACTGTCAACTAAATTCAAATCTTGAAAAAAATCCATTTATTCAAATAAATCTCTCTTTAACTCAAAAATCATTCAGAAAGCAAAGTGAATAGAAGAATGCTACTATACGAATAACATCGATTATCCAACTCCCGATTAGATCATGATGGATCATACTTTGACTCGAAATAATTAAAACGGTATCAAGTGTAAAACAAGCTCAAAAAATGAAAATGCCGGAATAATGAACGGCTCCCAAGTACTGCGAGTTTCACCGAGTCGACTCAATCAAAATCGGAAATGTCTTTACTAGGAAAGCATTAGCTAGCAGACGCATTAAATATAAGATTTCCCAAAACATCACAGAATATGCAGATGATACAGAAAGGTAAACACAAACCTACACAACTTTCCATTTTTTAATCAAATCTTAATTAATGAAACAGCAACTCGATCGAAACCAGTGATCAAAACAACAAACTGAGCTAGAAAATTAAGAGGAATATATGAAACCTGAAATCACTGGTCTTCAAGTTCTTCAAATTGTTATCAGTGTAGAAAGAGGTTGTTCATAGAAATGGTGAACTTTTTTAGGTTAACAGAGAGAGAGAGAGAGAGAGAGAGAGAGAGAGTCCTTGAGGATGAGATACGGTGATGAAGAGAAAAGGGGGACTTCAAAAATTATGGCCGTTACGGGGGCGTTTGAATTTTGGGTTTTCTGCTCGTTAAAGTTAACGGGGATTTTTGTTTCATTAATTTTATGACCGTTATTCGAGACATTATATTAATTTTTTTTGAATTTCGTAATAATATATTTCTAATAAATTCAAATTTTCGAATCTTTTACTGATTTTTTTCTTTTATTTTTATAGACTATGAAAATCGCATTACTTTAATTTAATTAATTTAAACCAATAAATTATTGTTTGATAAATTCAAATACCTACAGTGTGCATTTCACATTAATGTTTTAAGAAATACAATTATTGTTTACTATATATTTGAAATTATGGATTTCAATTTAAAAATAATATTTTAAGAATCTTTCGTTTCATCGTTTTAATAATTTCAAATCTTTTATATTAAAGTTGTTAATTTTTGTGCAATCAAAGTACATGAAAAAATAACATACTTTAATTTGATTTCTATTTTAAGTAACGTATTTTCAAAACTTCAATTTTGGTACCTAAAATATAAAGTTTTAAACATTTAAGTACCCTAGTAACTGGTTGAAACATTAACCGGTTATCATGTTGACGTGGCGAGTGATGGTGTATTCAACTCAGTATTATTTGATAAAGTGGTTAGTGATATTGATTTTTTTAAATCTAAAATTAGTCTTCAACCGGTTACTCGAGTATTTAAATGTTTAAAATTTTACATCTGAGGTACCAAAATGGAAGTTTTAAAAGTACGTTATCCAAAATAGAAATCAAGTTAAAGTACATTACTTTTTTCATACAATTTGCCCTTTTTGTGCAGAGTGGATTTGTAACCGGCAACTCCCAAGCTGGTTCATAACATCCAACCCTAATAATATCATATGATATGCATATCAGGTACAGAGCGGCCCTATGGGTGCTTTGTCTTGAGCATGGACGAATGCATGTTCAAGGGATAGTAGCACGTACTGCCAATAAAGCCAAAAAAAGTTATAAATTAATTTTTTTAAACCCACCTTTTACGGGTTTACCAAACTTTTTCCACTGATGTCCCCGACCTTCTTTTGGCGATCCATTCACTTTTTTTTTGGTGTCGTAATTCTAAGCATTTTAGTGCTTTTAATGATATAGATATTTAATTCTGACGTTTCTTTTGGAATGTTTGTTAATTTTGTTAGATATGTGTCCTTAGTTGCCGTTAAGGATGTATTACTAATGATTTTTGAATAATCCAAAAATCAAATTACCCAAAACTGTTTAACCCGAATCTCATTTGTTTTGGATGGGTTATCCTACTATAGATTTTTTATACCCCTATGTGTGCCCCCGATACGTGAGTTCCTGGTTCGCCCATTCATCTTAATTAGGAGCACAAATGCCCACACGACGCTCAATCCCCAAAGTATTGTAACTTCCAAACTCTATTTGTTAGACTCAAACCATCGTCTGTTTAAGACATTCTTGTTGTTTTAATTTTTAAGAACTTTAATATAATACATAGTAACAGGTTTTTATATTTTGTTGCATTATTATTCGCCCCTTCGATTTATAGTCTTTGGACATATGTAATAGAGCCTCAAAAAGATTGAAACGACTCTGCACTACACCAATGGATGTCTTACTCCATAACTTTGAGGCAAGAAGAGAACAGTAGCATGACAAGAGTTCGATCTGATTTTGGTACCTAGTTAGGTGCCAAATAGACCCTTCCTTATTGATATATTAATAACGTGAATATGCAGTCTATTCAACGGTGGATTGATTATGCACTCGCCAATGTCGCTTTTGTTGGAAAATATTAATCATGCAACTCCTCCATCCCATTGTCACCTGAAACTGGAAACCCAGTCGTTGGACAACTGTAAATGATGGGTTGGGATATGTAATACAAAGAAGTGTGGCTAAGAATATATGGGAAGTCAAGTTAGGGATTAATTGTGCCACATAATGAAATATGAAGTCCAAAGGTTCATTTGTCATAAGCTGCTATTAGGATTTATCTGAAATGGAGCTCAACCTCGTTAAACGAAACATAAGTTTGGAATGTTATTGATAACAAGGGCAACTATGGTTGGTTTTGGAGTCGTTTTTTGCTCAATATGACTGTAGATTTATGATGTTACTAAACATATTTGTCAACTTTCTGTTCCAGTTGATTGTAGTTGTTAACTATTTCAGTTCCATATTGTTCAAGTGATGTTAGATCTTTTGGACTTTTGCTACGATTAGTTGTAATTTGTACATGTTATCATTCATTATTTATGATGTTACTAAAACGTCATGGCCTTAGGAAAGACAATGTGTGACAGAATAAGAACATAACATAAGTTAGTTGAAGAGGACTTGTAATATATGACATCAGTGTTGAGAAAACTCAAATAAACAGTGTTAAAGATAGATGACTGCAGTAAGCAACCATACATATTGCCGACACCCGCCTATAACCATTGACTAGAGACTAATCTACGTTAATTATCGATATTAAAGATGTCGATGATATTGACAAGGCCTATAGCAGTACTCTCTGAGACCACCGAACCAAAACAACTTTTCACTTGAAATGCCGCCAACATCACGTAACGACGGAACGACCAGTTAATACTGGAAATGTGACTAAAGATCATATCCACGATTAACCATCAAACAAGCACCACATGCAAATTGGTGGCAAAATGATACAAGAAAATGACTAATCCATTGTTAGTGAAAAACCTGTAAGAAATATAGAAGATGGGCCCTTTCGAAAAGCAAGCCGAAACCGACAACAACAAAAAAAACTTAAGAAACAAACATGAGGTGTTTTTTCTTAATAATTTCAAAACAATTAAAGTATATTTTCATAGATCGACTGATATCCATAATACATTATATAAATCACATCATGATTATAGACTTATAATTGAAAGGTTATATAAAAGGCTAATTAATTTGTTAAAGTATTTTATATTTTATTTTTTTCGTAAATGTTATTTAATTAAACGTAATTTTGATTAAAAATAAATCACATTGGTACCCAAACGATTATGGGGTCCTCCCACATGTGACATGTACGATTATACAAAGCAATGTTGGAAAGTTAGGGTATGAATTATCCACATAATATGATATATAACCAAAAATTAATTCTATAAAAACATAAGAATTAATGGTGGTAGAAATTATGAAAATTGGAAATAATAACCAAAAAATATAAACCATAAGGGTGGTGTCTGATTGGTTTGAGTTTGACTCCAAAGATCAAAAGTACCTGGAGGTCCAGGTTCAAATCCAAGGGGGTATAAAAATCCCCTTGTGGCCACGGAGGTTCAAATGCGGTGACTCCGGGCTATCTGCAAAATAGGTGGTCGTCCTGAGATTAGTCGGCTCACATAGCGGGTTGGATATACAGGTTAATAAAAAGAACCAAGAAATATATGGGTTGAGTTCCAATAAGAATGAAAGTTAGAAGAAGAAGAAATAATTTTTACCCTCATATCAATCCTAATTAAAGATCAACACTAATGTGATATGCCGGGATGTACCAGATCAATTTTCATGATAAGTGTAATTTATGGAGTGGGGGTAGGGACGGACCCAGAAAAATTTTCAAACGGTGGCACCATATAATTAATATAGTATAATATACATCTAAAAATAATTACAAAAGATATGGTTTTTATAGTACCGATAAACAACTTCTAAATTTGTACCCGACGCGTCTTTATCTTTTGAAAACGGTCAATATATACCCAAAAATAATTACAAAAAGTATGGTTTTGGTTATTTGGGTTTTGTTTTGTTTGAGTTTTAGTTGTGCCATTTGGATTTCAGGGAAATACGGTAGCACATTCTAAAATGATACGGTAGCACCGTTAACAAACCTAAATTTTTTACCGTTCGGCCGCGAAATAATACGGTGGCACGTGCCACCCATGCCACCACACCAGGTCCGCCTATGAGTGGCCGTATCATTTCTTACGTTTCTCACTTTAACTTTTATTCTTATACGAACATTCGTCTAATACATATAATATTATTTTTTTCTTAATTAATTATATGTGTATATGTTGGAAAGTATTACTTGGGTGATACGTAATACATAGTGCGTACATTTCACTTCTATACCAAGAAAGTGTTAGATTTACACTTGGAATCCACGTGCCCATGCTCATGCATGTGTGCTTTATGCTTTGCTATTTTTTTTAATTCTCCTATTTTTTTTCATTAAAAATTTGAAAACAACCGTGTCATGTGTCTATATTTATAATATTCACGATGAATGTTATAAAAATCATATAAATATGGAATTTTGAACAAATAATACGTTCTCGATGA